TTTATTTCAATCTGGTCAAAAATCTCATGGTCATATTGAGTCTCGATGTGGGCACAAAACATCCAGGTACGTCAAAAAGATCCTAGGCACGAAAGCGTCCCGTGAACCCTAAAGCACTTGGTACTTGTTTGGTGGCATTTGCTTCGGAACCCGTACTCCTCACGGAAGTTCAACAACGGCTTAGCTTTTCTTGCATCTGAAATCGTTCTGTAAATGTTATGGGAAAATGGCAAGGGGAACAACAGACGAAAAGAAAAGACTCCATTTTTGTCTGCTTTCGTTTCCCGAGTTTCACTTCTTTGTGATCGCCGACAGTCGGTCGTTAGTCAGCCGACAGGTATTTTCTGGTTTTATCAACCGAGTTGGTAATGTAAATTGGCCACCGTTAAGAGTTTCAAAGCTGACGTTTCGAGCGTTAGCCCTTCGTCAGAGCGAACCCTCTAACGAAGGGCTAACGCTCGAGACGTCAGCTTTGTCGATCTCTTTACTGCGACCAATTCACATTATCAACCCAGTTGAAAAAACCAAACTATCTTGTTATACTCCCCCACCGACGAAGTATCACAATTTCCTTAGAAACTTACCTCCTTTATTCAGGTATTTTCCTAAGCCCGTTCTTCACAAAGACTGAAAATTTTAGCTAGTCATTAATTGAAAGTTGACAAATGAAAATCAGCAATACATCATGACCTTGTGTCCATGTCACGGAGATATTTTTGGTTCTTCTCCCAAACAAATATTTTTCACTCCTCTTCAAGTTTAAGGTGGTTTACTCTTCGAGCGAATTAGCCTTTGATCATCTTAGACAGTCGGATCGACGGGAACTCTACTCGCTGGGTGATTGTGGTTTGGCTCAGCACAAAAATAGAAATAAGATATTACAATGTAGTAGTCAGGAATATTCCTTGTCTGAGTCGCAAATCAAATTCAAAAAGTTGGACTACATCTGTAATCATTTTGTCAGGAGTCAGGTCAAGATCATTTTAAAAAAAGGTGTTGTTATGCGTCCGACCCCACAGTGCTTGTCAAACGCTTGTTAATTTCTTTCTTTCAATGACCGTTTATCTGTAAACTTTCGCTAATTTTGTTTGTTTTCATGATCGACCCTATTCAAATGTTGTATAGCCTTAGGAACCCCTTGAACATGCCACCTGCACTAAGTTTCTTTTCCACCTGTCATCTAAATCTTCAATCTAATTCGTCAGTTTGTTCTGAGCTTAATGTTTTACTTAAAATGCAGAACTGAGTGAACGAAGAAATTACTTTTCCGCGATCATGCTCAAATCTGTCACTAAAAAGTTGAAACCGTTCATTGAAGCAAAACTTAATGAGGAATATGTGTCTATAGCGAACGATGCGAATTTGTACTGTTTGGACTACATTGAAGAGCGACTGAAACGCTCCAATATCGATTCAAATCTTGAATTTATCCGACCCAAAGCTGTGTCTGAGAGCACTCTATCAATTTCTTTAAAAATAATCGAAGTCGGCGAGCTTCTGGAAACATCTTATCCCCATCTTTATAACAATGTTTCAAAACAGCTCAAGGTAAAATTACGGAGCGAGGTAATAGTCGGCGATATTTTCAGAAACTTTGGACGCGAGCTGTTTCGGGAAGGCGTCACTTGGGGACGAATTGTAGCCCTGTTCGCGTTTGCAGCTGCTATCAGTGCCGACTGCATAACACAGGGACGACCAGAACTCGTGAAAAATGTACTTAGTTGCGTCAGGCTCTATGTTTTGGATCACTTGGCGGTTTGGATAAGGAGCCAAGGCGGATGGGTGAGCAATATATTGTTGATATCTCTGTATAATCAGTGTTCGTGATGAAGATAACCAATTAACATAGACGTTTTTAATCTTAGTTACACACTTGTTTTCTACACCAAAAAAGAAAGTTTTAGTACGGCCATTTCCGAATCAAAAATAAAACGAATGATGAACTACAAAAAATATTTTAGTGAAAACAACTTGATGCACATCATGTAAAGACAAAAAGACATTTTGAATAGCTGAAAGCGAGGATGACTTAATTAATGCGATTTTTAAGATACATTTATTTTTTTCAATTTTTCAGTATAATAATTTCTGGGAAAATTTCCAGATATTCTCTGACAAAGTTCAATCATCGCGCCAGAAAAATAGAGAGTCTATAAATCGATTGCTCTCTTACCTATCTGAAAATTAACCATTTATTTAGGTTACTCTCATTTAATGAAAAAACTAAATATTCAAATACGAGCTGAGAAAATTAACTTTAAATATTCAAACCAATCCGGGAACTGATATCAGAGGTGGAAAAATTAATAATTGTATTCTGAGACAGCAAAACGTCGTTGAAAACAATAGAGGCAATCGATACGGTAATCGTGTAGCCGGAAGAATACAGCTCTGACATATTTGCATAAATCATCATATTTCGACTGGAATGATTTTCAGCAAAGATCACTTTTGATGTTTCGTTGGTTTTACGCTTAAATTCTAACATTAGCATGCATATTCTCCATACTGCTCTATGTAAACTTCTAAAGTGCTGACAAGGAGAATTTGTTGAACAATCAAAAGCTTTTTGAGTTGATGATCATTTACTTTATTCTCATGACTTTAATGTGTGATTCAGTGGTGATATATAGAAAGGAGAAACTAGATGCTAGTCACTCTTTGGGGTTAAGGGGTTAAAGAAAAGAAAATTGCCCTGATTTTGTCAGTCATAACCTCTTGCGTTCGCTCATATGCAATGAAAGACGAATTGGAAAAAAATTATAATCTCACGTAATAAAAATAATATTTAGATCTTAGCATTATTTCTCTTCCGGCCAAAGCTCAAGCAAAGAACTCCGAAATAAATCAACTTTATGATCTGTGAAAAATTTCAGTCTTACTCTGACATTTAATAAGTGATGCTCTTTCCTTTTTTGGACAGGTTGATATCAGCGAAACATTTAAATGCATTGAAAAGAGATATTCAATGGCGTATTTCCTTCGATGGTTTGACTACAACAGATTGTGGCTGGTCAATACGACGAAGGAAAGACTTCACTCGTTTCTGTGCGCAACAGTAGAGTGCATTGGTCTCATTGACGGAGGCTAAATATCCCGCTCGTATAATGATACCAAATAAAAACAACATTTATCCCTTTTATAGGGATATGTGTATCATATAGCTTAAAAATTAAATGTTAATCAATCCCCAATAAGCTAGTGTTTGTTGACAATCTAGCAATACACTGGTTTATTTATATACGCCTATGAACTTGACTGCGAAAATTAAAAGAGAGACCGGGATCTGAGGCGAATTCCGCACAATGTTCAGTAGTTAGCAGTTTCTATTAGAACAAAGTCAGGAACTTTAAGTCAAAAATAGCAAGTTTATTTCAATTGAGGCTCCAATAAAATATACTTTTTAAAAAACATTTTGATTCATACAAAAATAACAAAAAATATTTCAATTTCATCAGTTTTTGTTCTTTTTGCTTAATTTTTTTGCCGTAAACAGGAATATATTATTGTTTCAAGGACATAATTTTGATAACCATCTCTCTGTAATTATATATTTAAATACTCCTAGCTATGCACTCTCATCAATATATTGTATTGATATTCCTTTCATGGCAAAACCTACTGTCGGTTGGCTGAAGTAACCAAAAAAAAAAGATCCTAAGCCCACTAACCGAGTTGGACATATCACGCACACGCCAACACGTTATAACTTAACCTCTCACGTTTGCCCAACGGCAGCATTGCGACCCAGCGACCAAATCAATGAAATGCGCCCGTCTGTGACACACATAAACGTGCATGTTAGAAAAAGAGTATTATAGCCTATCTTTCACCCACCTACATGGTACTAGTGCAGAAAACATTTTAGTGAGCATGAACGACTATTAAGTGTCTAAGGATAATGACGGCTTCTTTCATTCGCACATTTCTGTCCCAGCGACAAATTCATAGAAAAAGAGGGTCGTGCAAGCCATGTATTATTGCTCAAAAATATGTGGAAATTGTTCAGTATCATTGAGCAGTCTTGCCTTCGGAGAATGAACCAACAAAGCGTGAGATCAAGGGATTGGGTTGTCAATCACTCGGTGTATTCTCGCCCCTCAAAAATAGACCAGCGGTCTCGGTGAAGCGATGTTTTATTGAAAATGGGAGCCATTCATTCGTTTCCTGTCGAATAATGAAAAGAAAGAAAGTTTCCTATCTTATAAAATTTCGAAAAGCGGAGAGTTACGCACCGTTAAATGAGTGACGTAAAACAGGTTTACTATCAATTTTGTCCAAGCAGAGGCATAACAGAAGCCTCGACTGGCTACTTCCAGAACAGGGGTCTAAATGACTTCTTCTACTGCCGGTGGTGTAACAGGCAGATGTGCCCAGAAAAGTGGGCGTAAGGCGAAACTCAAACAAGAGAGCTTGTTCGTAAGCTAAATACGCGTCAGTAAGAGGTCTTAACCCTTTAACTCCCACGAGTGACCAAAAGAGAATTTCTCCCTACAGTGTCAGTGCACTATTAGGCAGACAAGTAATGAGAATAAAGAAAAATAGCGATTAGGGGATTTTTAGTCGATCCAATGCCAAATTCTCCAAACTAACATCATAAGAATTGCATGGCAGATAGTCAGGAAAATTACTGATAAGATATTGGGAGTGAAAGGGTTAAAGACGGCGGTAGACCACCAGAAACCAGGTTTAACAAAAGCACTGTCATAAACAACACATGTGAACTACGGTTGACATTCTTGTGAAGCTACCCACCTCTCCTCTTTGTTCTTGCCATAGTGACAAAGCTCCTTCTTCGTTGAAATTACTCGCACAGCTGAGGACCAGTGGATCTTGTTCTCTGTGAAAAACAAATATGCCATTAAATGATTCTGAAAATTTGCCTTACTGTTTCACAATCAGAAACCATAGACAGTGTCCTATTTCTCCTCGTTCACTAAAAAGCGCACCGGGTTAACACGAAGCGTGGCTCTTTTCTTGTGACCTGCGTGTGCCGGGGAAGATCTAGCTTGTGTTTTCTGTGGTGCGGGGGAGCGGAGGACATCAAAACGTCTCGAGTAAACCCTTTACACCTTAACTTCAGTATGCATATTCTCCTCATTGCTCTCGATACATTTGTTACGGTGCTGGCGAGGAGAATTTGTTTGACAACCAAGCGCTTCTTAAGTTGGCGATCATTTCCCTTATTCTCGTTTGATGTTTGATTCGGGGGTGATATTGTAAGGATATATAAAATGCTAGTCACCTTTTCATGAGAGGCAGCTTCTTTCATTCAAGTGGCATTAGGGAAGAAGACTAAGTAAGAAAGGCCATGCTACAGAAGCAAAAAACAAGGCCGTACACAGATACTTTTTAAGCCAAAGCGAGGGCAAAGATTCCGGGCCGAAGCAGATCAACTTTGAGTGACATTGACATAGTAAGGGCTGAGAGGGGCATTGGAAATAGCTTTTGAACGTCAAGGGCAACATTGGTAAATAATTGTTTAATAACAGTAGCCGAGATTGCTCGAAAGAGTAGCAGTTGTGGAGAGGCTTTAAATGAACGAGTCATTGAACGAATACATGGATTAACCTTTTAACTTCCAATATCTCAGTAGTAATTCTCCTTACGGTGTGCCATACAATTCTCACTATGTTAGTTTGGAGAGTTTGGTTTGGATCAACTAAATAATCCCCTAATTAATATTTTTGTTTATTCTCATCACTTGTCTGCTTGATATTGTATTGACACTGTAAGGAGAAATTATTTCTTGGTCACTCATTGGAGTTAAAGGGTTAAGGAACAAACGAAGAATAAACCCGGGCCAATTAAAAAAAAGAATAAGCAAAGAAACGAACTCAATAATGAACAAACAGTAACACAAACGGATAGAAAGTTTCATGCCCATTTCTCTTACCTTACTAGCAATAGACAACGAATGGCTTCTTCATTGATGCGGAAATGAACTCTGAGCCTCAGTCTAAATCTGTAATCACTGTAGTACATATCGGTGTCCTGTTTAATTTGTTCGCCGGACGGGTTTTGTGCCTGACTTTCGTGGTCTTGGGCGTTAACCACGTTCTGACTGTCTACAATTTTCTTGGACATTTCAAGAGACTCTCTCAATTGACTCTCACTAAATTCGTCAATCGATGAAATTTCTTCGTCGGTACAAGTATTCACTGTCTCTGGTGAGGAATTTACTTCTGATTGCGTCGTGGAATCCTCGATGCTTGGCGTCAGTTCCGGTTCTTTTATTTTTTCCTCTGTTTCCGATATCGTTGGCAAAAATTTGGTCGAACTCTCATTGCGCTTTTCTTTGTATTCTACAATGAAACAACGCAACTCGATTAACGCGTCACATATGTCTTTGACAGATGCGAGTACTCTCGCTGCATTGTAGTTCGCTGCACCTGTGGTGCAAAATGCTGTGTGATTGAAAATTGAAGACTAAGAAAACATTGTCATCGATAACGTATTTGTATAAAAGACTGACACGTATTGCTCATGCGCGTTCCGAAGCGAAAAGCAGCTAGAAGAATTCCTACCCCTACCCGGATGGAATGCTAGTCCATTGCCAACATAACTGAACATATTTCCTTTATGTGGCGCTTACTGGAGCAAAGGAAGGCCTGTTTTCATGGGAAAAACAAACAAACAGAAACTGTTACTCACCTTTGTGTTCGTCAAGGACCACATAACCTTCGTCTTCGAATTTGTCATTTCTAGTGACGTCAAATATTAAAACTTGTCCGTTACCAAGCCCTACCCATAATTCTTCACCAAGAGCCATCATTGTTGTGACCCGAGATTCGCAGAATGCTATTACCTGGAGAGAGAGGAAGACCGACATGAAGATAAATGTCTCGTCGAATAATTTTACCACTGGAAAGTTACAGAATAGCTTTCCTACCCTTGAGTCAGAGCTGGTGTCGAGGCTTGTGACGTCATCGACCTTGAGAAGCACGTCAAAAGTGGCGTGATCCAACAAGAGAATGCAAGAAGACCTGCAATCAAATGGTAGATATGATTTGTACAAAGTCAAAGAGAACAAGTTTCTCTTCTTTGCAACTTGGGCGTGGTAAAGAGGATGAAAGACAGATGAAAATGGTAATTTGTTTTCAATTTAAAAGACAGTGCGTCTTACCCTCTCACGCTGCACCAGACGCCATGTTTACCGTGCGTTAACTTGGAAACCTGATGGCGACGCGAGTTTGATACAACCAGTGAACCGAGCTCACCAAGGGAACTAGTGAAGAGAAGCAAAAACAGCACGAACTGTAAAAAAACAAGTTTAGCGTAAAGGTAAGGTGGTAACTTGCACTCCCATGAAAAATAATTCATCACTGATGTCTGTGTTTCATTTGAGCCTCCAAAATTCAAAAGAAAACGAAAATTGCTCTTGAAGGTATTTCTTGAACAACGAAGGAGTCAAACCACTACCTCCCACATGTGATGCAAATGTAACTTTCCCGTGCAATTTCAAGGCCATATCCAGTAAACAGGATAGGAGAAAAGTCTCCTCGTCACCTGAGGGCGTTATCCTTATTTTAAAACGAATTGAAGAGCAACCGGAAGGCAGAAATATCAATTAAATATTATGATTCTGAACCTTCTGAAAAAAAGTTGTCTTCCCCATGGCAAATGTTTCGCAGTCGCGTCAAAGGGAAATTTTGGACGCGTTTAAAAAGATGTTGCGTAAGTGTCTTGTACGATACTGTATACTGTCAACAGATTGTTCATGGTTGCGAACGGGGGGTCTGTTTATGTTCCACGAAGTGTTCAGATAAATGATCCAGAACAAAAGTTGTTAGGAGAAATCTATTTAGCCTACGAATAACTCAACACCTGCTGATACGGTCTAAGGCTTTTCTTTCTAAATAAGTGTTAATTCGATTAGTTCACGTTAGTTAATACGATTGATTTTAAAAAAAACTACAAAAAAAATTGCGATATTTGTGATGTGATTACCTATTGACTCTGCGTAAATACTTGAAAGAAATATCCGGTAAAGGCTGAATAAAAACCTATTCTCTTAATGTAAACATACTGTATGGTTATTGGGGATAACATATTGATCCATAGGTACAATGAACTCAGAAACACCACGCAAAAGAAAATAAGGGCAACGACAACCAAAAATATTGAAAGATTTTGTTTGGTACGCGTAAACACCACGCACATCACTATGTTCTGTTTATCGACCAAAACAGTTGGCCTGATTAGCAAACGTCTTGGTTAAGCGACACCAAGACAATGCAATCGATCAAAGCGGTTATCTATTTTGCAAAACAGTTGTTTAATAATTCAGTAAAAGCAGTGGGTGTCTCAATAAAAACACATGTACCTTCAAACAAACTATTCAGAAAGATTCCCCGCATCACCGATACTAATGCAGGAGTTGAGGGGTCAACACTGCAGTGCTTCTAGGGCAGGTACGCTTGCTAAGGTAGGTGTCCAAATTGAATTAACAAGATTGGGTCAGCCCTTAATT